GGAGCCGAAATTTACGGTGAAATTGTGCTTGCGGAAGTCTTAAAAGGCCCTCAGGGAACGCCAACTGCGCAGAAAACTGAGTTGGGATGGATTCTCTTTGGGAAAGCACACAACAATAACTTCCATTCCGTATCGATGAATTCAATGCAAATTAACGAACTTATGCAGAAGTTCTTCGAAATCGAGGAGATAGCAGAAGACAGGATGCACAGCAACGAAGATCAATATGTGATTGATTACTTCAACCAGCATTACCAGAGAGACGAAGAAGGTCGTTTCATCGTGAAATTTCCATTCCGAACACCATTGTATGCAGACGCTGTGCTAGGCAAGTCACGAGAAAATGCATTAAAACAATTTCTGCAATCGGAAAGGAAATTTGCATGCAATCCAGAATTCAAAAAAGAGTACGTCAAAAACATCAATGACTATTTGATTCAAGGTCATATGCACGAACTTTTTGATTCGGAATCAGACCGTAAATACATCACCAAAGACGGTCGTGTTGCTTATGATTGCTTTTATCTGCCACATCATGCCGTTATCAAGGAAAGCAGCACATCTACACGTTTACGACCAGTCTATAATGCTGCCAAAATAACATCAAACGGCAATTCATTGAATTCAATTCTTTTCACCGGTCCTATGCTGCTCAATGATTTGATTTCCATCTTGGAGATTTCCAATTGGAGATTCCATCGAATTGCCTTCGTTGGTGATATTCAACAAATGTATCGCCAAATTCGTGTCGCTGAATCTGACGTAACTTATCAACGCATTTTATGGAGAGACGAGCCATTTAAAAGGTTTCGTGAATACGGGATTAATCGATTGGGATTTGGCACAAATTACGCACCCTGTGCAGCAAACCAGTGTGTCAACAAACTTGCTGATCTAAATAGTGAGGAATTTCCAGAAGCTTCGGAGGTGATGAAAAGAGATATTTACATGGATGACACCATTACCGGTTCTCACAGCGTTAGTAAAGCGCTTCAAATTCAACGAGATTTGATACATGTTTTCAATTCAGCTGGTTTTTGTATCAAGGAATGGGCAAGCAATTCAGAGAAAATTTTAGCAGCTGTTTCAGAATCAGATCGAGAAATCAGCATACCGTTTTTCATCAATCCAGACAGGGAGATAAAAACGCTTGGTATCTTTTGGAGTATCTCAACGGACACATTGAATTTCAACATTAACTACAAAGAGAGAGAGATCATAACAAATCAGTTCGTGTTATCTACTATTGCTCGCATTTATGATCCACTTGGTTTGGTTTCACCGCTCATTGTGAAAGCCAAAATTTTCATGAAATCATTGTGGTTACTCAACCTTGATTGGCACGACCCATTGCCAATGGAAAAAGTTAAGGAGTGGAAGCAGTTCATCAGTAAGCTGCCCTCACTATCAACAATCAAAATACCGCGTTGGATTGGAACTTCGCCAATTTGTTCGTCATTACAATTACACAGTTTTTCGGATGCTTCAATTGATGCATATGGTGCTGAAATTTACGTTCGCTACATCGACGAAAATGAGCAAATTCATTCGAGACTCATTATCGCAAAGTCAAAGGTTGCTCCGATGAAAATTCAGACCATTCCACGTCTTGAATTGTGTGCTGCTCTATTGCTGTCAAAACTCATCAAGTATACATTGAACTGCATTCGTATTCAGAAATTCAACGCTTCGAATGTATTTCTTTGGTGTGATTCACAAGTCGTACTTCATTGGCTGAGAGGTGATGCAAAGAAATGGAAAACTTTTGTCGCAAATCGCATCACAAAAATTCTTGAAGCAACCGAATCATATCAATGGAGCATAGGTGTTTATTTTTGTAATAATTATTCGTTTTTTTATTCACTTATTACTTTTGTC